TTGAAGAAAAAAGACATTATCAGGAGAGATGAAATTGATAGGTGAGCTTTGTTTGGAGATGGTACTATTGCCAGAGGCTGAGTTAACACACCTGTAATCAGGTGTTAGTATGATATGTTCTGGCCATGGTACTATTAAGGTTAAATGTGACCTTAAGTCTTGGATAACTAAAATCAGGAATAAGGAAACTTATAACAGGGTCTAACTTTTGTGAGAATGACACCTGAAGAACACTCTAAAAGTCAAGGTTTGCAAGTGTATAAGAGAAATATTTGCATTGGCCCTCACTTTTTATTTCTCTAACTTAAGATGTAATGATTTTCTCCTTCATCCTGTCTTGCTCAAAACAGTCTTTTCTGCCAAATTTTAACATTGATGTTTTTGTTCTTTGAATCCTGGCAGCTTGAACTGCGAGAAGAGAATATTTGAAGTGGTCAATTCTTCTGATCACCCATTCCTTGTGAACATGTTTGCATGTTTCCAGACACCTCACCATGCCTGTTTTGTGATGGAATACACTCCAGGTGGGGATCTGATGATGCGCATACACGAGGATGTCTTTCCAGAGCATATGGCACAGTGAGTTAGAATTAGTCAACTCTCCAGGCACTATAAATTTTTAACTCGAATCTCATATGTATTTCCTGATAACTGTTTCTGTCTTTTAGGTTTTATACAGCCTGTGTAGTCCTGGGGCTCCAGTTCTTGCATGAGAAGAAAATTGTTTATAGGTAATGCAGCAGAGACTCAAGTATAAGTTTGGCAACTTGGAAGTTGGTTTCTCCTGTAGCTGTGTCTGGAGCTCACTGTTTTGCTGGGGTTTCTAATCTTTCTGTCTGTCTTTATTTCCTCCACTGCCTGTTGCTATCAGCATGTTCATCGTGCTCACAGTAAAGAAAGTCACCTAGAAGCAGTTCATCTGGCATGTTGCAGGTGATTAATCCTCTGTGACATGTCAATACATTCTGGGGGGTACCTGTAAGTTACTGCTTTCCTTTTTTCTTGGTAGTCAAGTAATTTGTCATGCTATTGTGGGAGCCCTGTTCCAGATGACTTAGCCCCACTCAGCTCAAAGCTGCTTTGTGAGCCTTTTGTTTAGAGGAAAATATCAATAAATTAAGGGGAATCTTCCAAATAATACATGATTTAAACCAAATGTAGACTTTACTCAGTTTAGTTTTTATTCTGTTTATTAACACTACCTTCTGCCTCTTGAAAAAAAATATGTTGGATGGCATTCCTGAGACTTCAGCCACTGTTTTCTTAAATCTCCTTTGCCTGCAGGGACCTGAAACTGGATAATCTCCTTTTAGATGCTGAAGGATTTGTGAAGATTGCAGATTTTGGATTGTGTAAAGAAGGTGAGGGACTGGAGAAGCTGAAATGGAGCCATGAGGATTAGTTTAGGATCTGGGCTGTAGTAAGTGGATGTATGTAACTTGTATTAATTCCCATTTTAAAAATTAAAAGAAAAACAAAAAAAACCAACAAACCAAACAACAAAAAACCTCACCTATCTGGCCATGATGAACTTGGGAAGAGTACTTTGTCCTTTAATCTTCAGGAAACCCATGAAGGCTTTTAAAATGTGCTTGTTTGTTCAAGGAGCCAGAATATAGGATACTATAAAATGTGTACATGAGTAAATGAGCAATGGAATCTGCAGGAGGTTTTCTTGGTTTTGCTGTTTATTTAAGCACTGTCTGTATATTTGTTATCTGGAGCTGTTGGGGGCCTCAGGTTTCCCATTTCCTCACTGGCATTTACAAGCCTTGGTGAGAACTCTTGCCCAGGTAATGACATCAGGTGACAAACTACAGCTCTCAGAGGCAAGGCTGCCTGTGATCCATTCAGTTATGTGTGCTGGATTTTACAAGTGTCCTTTTCCAACAGGAATAGGTTTTGGAGACCGGACAAACACCTTCTGTGGCACCCCTGAATTCCTGGCTCCGGAAGTCCTGACGGACATCTCGTACACACGGGCAGTGGACTGGTGGGGACTGGGTGTGCTCATTTATGAGATGCTTGTTGGTGAGGTAAGGCCACCTTTCCTCAGGGGATCTCACTAACCAGGTTTGGGGACCAGACCACTTGAGAGAAAATTTGTTAAATGTCGCCAGTTATTTATTATTACTTCAGTTACATTTTTCTCATTCGTTGTACTTGCCAAACGTTAATTAATCCAACAGCTCCCTGCTATTCTCATCCCTATTTAATAGTGAGGAGTGGGTGGTATTTGTATTAAATAATAGAATGTCCCCATTGCAGTCACCATTCCCTGGAGATGACGAGGAGGAAGTCTTTGACAGCATAGTCAATGATGAAGTCCGGTATCCACGATTCCTTTCAGCTGAGGCACTTTCTATAATCCGGAAGGTAATGGGCTTGGTGGGTCTCTGGGAGCCTGAGGAATTGTGAGTGGAGCCAGAGGGACTCAATTAGGACTGGATACATCTGTGTGTGTAATCTGGAGCTGCCTACACAGACTAAGGAAACATTTAACATTTACACATATTTTTCCTTTCCATCTCTTTACATAAATGCAGTCCTTCTGTGTAAGGATGACTAAGCAGGCTGCTTACTGTTCTTGCCAAGTCTGACATGGAGAAGTGTTGATTCAAGGGCAGGAGTGTCAGAGCCATTCAGTGGGGATGGCTGGACTCAGGGTTTGAATGTGACCCCGTAGTCACAGGTGCACAATTAAGCTGAGATGCTTCACGCAGTTTATAGCAGGTATCTTATTGCTGTTGGCAAGTTGTTTACAAGAAACTAGGTCTGAGCTATTCCTGGCAGATGACCTTGGTGCAAAGTGAAAATGAGAAGATACTGAGGGCTCAGTCCATCCCCTTTCTTTTGTTTTTCTCTCTGGAACATTATTTCTGTCCATCCTTGTTCCCGCTGTTTAATTTTGAACCGATATTTCTGCAGCTCCTTCGGAAATGTCCAGAGCGTAGACTGGGAGCAGGGGAGAAAGATGCAGAAGAGATTAAAATCCAGCCCTTTTTTAAGGTAGGAACTCACTTTATTTCCCTCCCCATCATTTTTTGTGTCTGAGCTGAGAGTGATTTGCTCTCTGTTGGTGTCGAGGCATATTTCCATTAGTGAGATCTTAGTGATAGTTTCTGTTGCACCTCATTGCTCCATTCAGGAATATGTGTTTTAATTCACAGTTGAAATGACATCCCATGTGTTTTCTGGGATCTGTAAGCTGCCAGAGCCCCTTTGTTATTTCTGATTGTGTTGCTTCTATGTACAAATACAATCAACTTTAGAGACATCAACAAATACTCCTTTTTAAATGAAGCTGCAGCATCAAAGATGCTGTGTAGTGATGACAGTGATTGCCAGTCAGTCTATTTGATGGCAGCTGCATTTGTCAATCTGTCTTGTTCCCTTCTTTCTCTTACAGGGAATTGATTGGGATGCCTTGCTTGCCAGGAGACTGAAGCCCCCCTTTGTGCCCACATTGAGAGATCCAACAGACATCAGCAACTTTGATGAAGAGTTCACCTCCCAAAAGCCAATCCTCACTCCCCCCGAGAGGGTTGCTCTCCTCACCCACAAGGAGCAGACTGTCTTCAAGAACTTTGACTTTGTTTCCAGACACCTTTTAGATGTGTGACTCCTGTGCCATACAGAACATGAAGAGGTTGTTACCACCTTGAGAGGACTTGGCATGGGCAGTGGAAAAGTCAACAGGATCCATAGTACAGGTAGTGCTGCCCTGCAAGCTGAGTTAACGTGCTGTGGGTTTCCCAGCCTCATTTGTTGGAGGGATCCTGGATGTCAGTTATCTTTAAGGAATAATTAATGTTTGACTGGATGTATCTTCTGCTGTCACTGAATATAGATGGAAATTTGGAATTTAAGCTGGACTCAAATCATCTCTTCAGCCCAGGTTACTCTTTGAAAAAAGCCTAAGTAAGTAGTGTGGCTTTTTAAAATTGTAGAGTAGCAGGGCCTCTTCTCACCTATTTTCTAGAGAAGAGATGCAGCATTTCCTCCTGGTAATGATTTTATGCCATTTCCCACTCATAAATATGTG